ATGCATATGTACTACCACCAGATTATACCATCAAGCAACACGAAGCATCGAAACCCAGCAGGTCTAGCAGATTTGGAACGATTTGTGTAAATACGGCAAGCCAATGCACTTTGTTAAATTTGGAAAGTCTAGGACACCCTTGCAAAGCATGAATGGCAAGAATCCGTATTAGCTAGAGCACAAGCCTCCACAGAATACACTAATAAGCTGTTAAAATCGCAGGGAACATGATTGAGCAGAAGCGAGACGCCTCAGAATATTGTGTAATATATACGATTTTGCGTATCTATTATACCCCTTACTAGGTCGATGACAGTTATCAGATCACTAGGTGGCAAATTCCATCACAGGGAGATGCACACCTTGATGATTCCCGTCGGTATGTGGACAGGCCGAACTGCTACGCACTACAATATTCCCAATCAGCTGGCAGATATACTACTTAAAACTAAACACTCCGATTAGCAGACTTATAAATCTGCAAGCATATCAACCTTAAGGCAGTAAACTGATAAAATAATTACAGATTTCCCCAAAGTCCTTTATTAATTATATATAAATTCGAATATGCTTCTTACGGTTGTGGAACTCATTAGACTAAACCTAAGCTAGTATAAAAGCTGACTGGCTATCCTACTTCTGGTTAACCAGTGACTTGTCATTTTTACTTAAAGATCAACACGCAATTGCACCATCCATATACTATAGCAGCAGTAAATTTGGAATGTATAATACATAACTATAATACACATTATGGATCTAAGTTGGATTTAGCTACAAATTTCCGCATCCAGCTCCTCTAAAAAATATTATATACACACTAAGGTAGATCTTCTCCATTGATCATAAACAAGAAGATCTATGTACATAATATGTAGATAGGTCTTCTTGTTTAAGATCAACATATTATGTTGGTGAGATGTTTTACGATCTTTGTATTCTTCAGGAGATATGGAGGAATTTTTTTCCATAAACTTGTCGTTAAGGGATAGATAATTTTCTATACTATTCATGTCCATATGATTTATTATTCAAGTGTAAATTTTTATCATATTTTAATCAATCCAATCAATGCTATTCTTAGATTATTATCATGAATATCCTAATTACCCTAAGATCAATTTATCTACAAACATTATGATCAATCAAAAGCTTGTCATCCAACATGATTGATATGTTATGTTTTGTTGATAAGTATAATTTGTAAAAAAATGGAAACATGTTGTTTTGGATACACTATACGATAGGCTAGAGAAAAAAATTCTTTTGTGATCTAGTATAATTGACTCTTGTGTTATTCTATAGTGAACTATGAATAGATATAACTATAATGCTAAAAAGAGGCGATCTATTCCAATCAACTATTTTTCTACAACTTGGTTGTTGGCACAACACTAATCACCCATAGAAGTTGATGTTCAATCATTCTTTATAAAATTGTGCTATTGTCACGTACCTTTCAAAAGAAGAATATCTTTGCATCTTTTCTTGTCTTTTGCAACACATAACATGTGAAATATATCTCAATGTTTGTCAAATAGATTTTACATATATTGACACTCATGCGTAATCTTATCTCTTTTGGTATCATAAATAGTTATATACTACACTTTAAATGAACATGAACTCAAGTGAATTATTTTGGGTACCTATAAATAATCATATATATATATATATATATATATATGAAAAATGGGAATTTGTATCAATGGGCAAAGCTAACGCTGAATCTCATTGTTGTGAAAAAAAAATGTGAAATATATAATCATTAAAAATCAACAACTTGTAAGAATGGCCGAAACATTTTATCACATCTTCAAGTAGTGTTAGAATACAATTTGTAATTCTAATGTCATGCAATGTAGTATCAGAATCATCATGATTCATGTCTTTTGTACAGTGAATAGATTTTAAGTTGAATTTAATTTTGATTTCAGAAATATACTCAAAGAGAAGAGGATTGTGGCTAAGTTTAGGATAGGGATAAAAAGATTCATGGAAAAAAAAGATTCGAATAAAAATTTGAAGGTTGAATTTATATCTTACATATTTTAAACCATATCGCATGAATAAAAATGTATGTGCACTATAAAACACTTCATGTTAAAAGAAAAGAGTGAATCATGAGAATAAAAGATAATCACTATAAATATCTATTATATGTCTCACTTCTAAGACATTCATCACTTGAATCAGTTTTTTTGACACAATCTTCTTATACAATTGCATCTCAAAACTTTGAAAAAAAAGACCGTTATTATCTAAAACTTATAATATGTGTATAGCAAGAAAAGTCATGAACAGAGAACGCCTGGTAAAGCTTATTGTAATAAGCTTTACCAGGTGGTGGATGGCTAATGAAAATCGATCGATATATAAGTGTAATAGGTGAAGCGTCAACTCTCATTACCTTAAAAGTGAATTGAGTTTGACTTCGTCAGCATCGGAATATATAAAAAACAGTATGGACGTCACTGTCTTAGTTGGATTAGTGAAGCAAAATGACAAAACATTTATCTAGATTTGCAAAGATCACGGTACTCATAAAAATAGCAATACTTCCAAACAGGGAATATCTTTTCAGAGAATGTATTAAAACATTGAAGAATGTACATGCAAAACTTGAAACACAAGAACTAAATAACCGGGAAGAATATTGGAAACAACGATAATGTAGGTTGAAGTATATTTCAGAGTTATTGTATTTCGTAAAGATTGGAAACCAAAACCCAAAGCATGACAATTTTAAATTTTTAAATAAATTAATATAGATCTCTTTTCAGTGTTCAATTATGTCTTGAAGTAAAGTACATATTTTCTAACAAGAAATATGCTTTGGGAAAACAGACAACATTTGAGGCAAAAATTCAAAAAGTTAGATCCACGCATTTCATCATTTCAACTTATAATTTCAAGCTTGAAATTATAAAAATTAAATGGATCATAAAAACACATAATATTACAAAATCTACGTTTCTTTTTGAAATCTCAGATGAAATCTAATTTAATCTATGATAAAATCTCATTAAAAGAAAAATGAATAAATTATCTACGAACAATAAAATGATGAAACTAAAATTCTGGAAAATTGCTGTAAAATATGATACAATGAAACAATAAAAGTACATCAATTAGATGTCAAATAAATTGAAAATTATTCTTTAATATTCATTTTGAGGCCAAATTTTTATTTCATTTAAAGGAATATATTTTTTGAAACTTAAAAAAATAATTTTTTAACATCAATGAAATTAATTTAAAAATTAGCAAAAAATTAGTAAAAATTGGAAAAAGATATATTTCAAACCAAAAACTTCGATTAAATTATGAAGGAAAAATTTGTATGGGTGATGAAATTTAAATTTAAAATATTTAAATCTTTTGAATAAAATTTGATTTCTAAATTTTATCTTAAATTTTTGAATTAATACCTCTAGGTTACTAAAAAACAAAAAAGAGATGAATTTTCAAATTAAAATCAAATCATCGACTTGAAAAGAAAAGCATTTTTACAATAACATAAATCATTATAATAAACATAAAATTTCTCCTCATATATCTCAATTTAAATAATAATTGTCATAAAACTTAAAGAAATGATTTTACTTATGTGGAAATTACGTATAATTATTAATTCATTTGTGCTAATAATTCATCATTATAATTGACATTTTTATATGCAGATAATTTTTTTCAAGATCATTTACATCGAACCTTATACAATTTGATCAATGGAATTCAATCTGCAGATATTCTCTTGCAAATTGTCATATATTTTTCCAAACTTCACCAAACTTACAAGTACCGTTGGAACACAATGAATCTTGATAATGTTACTAAATTTCCTGTTATCAAACTGTGATCATGTCTTAAAAAAGTATATGCCAGTTCAAAGTAAGCATTTAAAATTATGATGCAGAAATCTTTGCATGAAATATATTGTAGTATGAAGCATTCTAATAAATAATGAGGGAAAAAAAAGATGACTTGTGCAACATAGAAGAGGTGATGAACATATTCTTATCTTATCTACTATATGTAAATTTCTTAACATCGATACTTTTTAAATTTGTGTTTAATATTTTAATTGCAATCAAGATACCCAAATATGCATATAGATTTAAATAAATTTTTAATTTATGTAAAATTAATTTTGAGGTTATTTTGTGAGAGAGTGAGCAGCAGTTTTTTACATTTTTATATTTTTCTTATTACCGTGTAATATTATTTCAGATAAATTATTTTTTATTAAAACAATATTGATCAGCGTTATAAACCTAAAAAAAATTAATCTAGCCGATAAAGTAGCGCAGAGTGGACCTAGTTCTATGTATTTTTGCAAATACAATAGTATATAGAATTAAGTCTACTCTCCCCTTTGTTTTTTATTTGTATAATTTCTGTAGTCTGTTTTTGTATTGATTGTATTACTATTTTGGGTTCAACATCATTTTACATTCATGTTTATTCTCATTTCATTGGTGGCAGGTGAAGAATGGATTGAACTGTTCATTGTTCGCGGCTGAATTTTAACCTTGGCAAATTTCGGATAATTAAGTGGTAACTTATTTATGGTAATGAACGTATTTTATTGTTATAAATAGTATAATTTCTATTCAATAAATTAGATTTCATTTTTCTGTTTATTTAGTTTGAGTAGTAGTGAGAATAAAAGTGTATTGTACGTTTAACCATGACAGATTATGACAGCCGATATGAAACTAAACAGATTATGACAGATTATAACAGCCGATATGGTTTACAAAAAGGTTGCATGTATTAGTATATAATTTATTTCCAATTGGAAAGTTCTTTTGGAATAGTAATAAACTGGAATAGGCGATTTAGACATGTATAACACTGTCTTAATTAGAGAGTCCAAGGCGGCATAACGTGAAAGAAATCACACATCATAGTACATGCTTGTACATACATATCTCGACTTTCTTACAACAAAACAAACGAAAAAAGATACGCTGAGAATTGAAGCGATAATATTTCAAACGTCGCCCTTTAATTGGACTTTTACTTGAGAAAGCAAATCTCTCTTTACCAAGCATGCCGGCAACAAACTCTACCATTTACAGTCAATTGATGTGAAAATGGTCGTCTCCATTTACAGGTCTCACATGTCTCGTAAAATTTCCTACCGTCCGAGTCATACTCGTTCACATGCGACGTACTATGTACACTCCGTGCCTGCTGCTGGAAATGGATCAGTCAAAGTAATGAAAGTTAATGCCGAAGAGTCGGTGCGTTCATTGAATTGGCCAAATGTGTTTAAATCCGTGCCTGCTGCTGCTGCTGCTGCTAGCTACCAATGTCGATGCTGATGGACCTGGAAGAATGGACGAATTTGCGCGGTCCACTTTAAGCTAAGCCAGGATGCATGACGACCTTGATACAATTGTCGACTTTGTCGTTGAAAGTCTTGTACAATTCAGGAGCTTTTTCAAGCGGTTGTTGGTGGGTGATGACGAGCGATGGGTTCAACTGAGATTTCTGAACTAGTTCGAGAAGATGCTTCCAGTATTTCTGGACAGGCGTCTGGCCGCCACGCATCGTCAGGCTCTTCTCCATAAAAGCACCCAGGTTGAAGTGATTAGTGTATCCTGCATAAGCGCCGACAATCGACACACGGCCGCCCTTGCGAACATTGTAGACAATGTCGTTGACGATCTCCGGGGTATCGGTTTCCAACATCGTCATCATCTGCAATTTGTGAAGCACCGAATCCGCGTAGTGCATTCCGACGGCATCAATGCCGACATCGATTCCGTGCGATGCGACTTTGCGCAGAGCTTCATATACTTTCTCCTGCTTGAAATTGATCGTACGAAGTCCAGGCAGTTTTTGCTTGGCAAAGTCGAGTCGATACTGAACGGCATCGATGAGAAAAACTTCCTTCGCTCCGCGAGCTTGCGCGCAGTGAGCTGCGAGAATGCCCACAGGACCAGCCCCCCATATGGCCACCACGTCCCCTTGCCCGACCTCTCCCAGCTCATTGGCATGCCATGCCGTGGGCAGAATGTCCGACAGCAGAACCACTTTCTCGTCCGACAAATTTTCCGGCACCTTGAGAGTATTCACATCAGCTGGAACGCACGTCAAAAGCCATAATCTTGTCAGCACGATCGACCATACACCCACCAGCACTTTCACAATTTCATACACTGACAGATATCACAATCAATCGGCGCCAATCTCCTTGCCAATCTGAACGCGACATTCGATGGCCCGGCAATTTCTCGACTGTCCGGCATTTCAAGTTTCGAAGAATCCAGGACATTCAGAATCTCACGGACAAGGGAGACGTAATTCATAATCCACTTACCAAAAGGTACTCGCACATACTCCGCTTGGCCACCAGGATAGCCTCCGGTGAGGTGAGAGTAGCCGAAGAAACCTGCGGTACGATCGCCGTACATGGCCTTCTCCTCCTGGCTAGGGTTGGTGTTGCCACAGCACGAGAAGGCTTGCAGCTTGGAGCAGAAGTAACACTCGCCACATCCGATGTCGAAGCACACGACGACCCTGTCACCCTTCTTCACGCTCTTCACATCAGGACCGACTTCGTGAACCACGCCCATGAATTCGTGGCCCAGAATATCACCTGGCACCATGCCCAGCATGTTCCCCAGGTACAAGTGCAAATCCGACCCACAAATGGCGCTACTCGTGACCTGCAGCACCACGTCGCGCGGGTCCGTGACCAGCGGCATGGGCCTTTTGGAGTTCACCCGCACATCCTTTTTGCCGTGCCATTCCACTGCCTTCATGAGCCGCGTGTCGTCCACCTTTGGACTCACGGTAACATTCGGAGCTGTCTCCGACATTGTCCGAGTCTGTTCTCCACCTGCGACCTGCCATGAGATGCGTCAACACTGATCAGATCTGGATTGTGTTATGTTTCACAGGGGCTAGCCGCCGCCATGGAATTCGATCCACTTCCAGTATCGCCCTCTTTCATCGACTGCTGTGTACTGATGGCATGATCGTATTGTTGATTATCAACCAATCTGACGTCGGACTTCATCTCTCATAATCACGACGTCTTCTTACCTTCGGTACCGGATTCTCGCTTTTTGCCGAGTCTGTAGGCTGCTTCGAAGAATGGTCGAGATGTGATTGATACGCAGCGCATCATGGAAAAGGATCTGGCTTTCGTGAAGTTATATTGATTTGGTGGTCCGAGTGAGAACTTCCTTCATTGAAGAGTGGTGAAACAACAAACGCATGCCTTCCAGGTGTTGGTCTGCGCACATACTTCTGGTTTCAGCTGATTGGAACAATTGTTCCTACCTGCCACATTCTGCACAAGTGTCTTCGGGGAGGACTTTGCCTCGAACTGCCACGTTCGACGGATCCGTTGACTAGAATCCGATGATAATCCGTCCGTCTCGTAGGATTGACGAGTGTCGGAGGAAGGTTCGTTTTCCATCGATCCAGCTCAAAGACGAGCTACGCTGGTCGAGCTCGCAAAGGCCGCAGTGCGAATGCGGAAGGCACGTGGAGACTGCCTTTCATGCCAAGTAGATTGTAGCAGGTCTCTCACTGGTGCTTAATATAACGTCGTAGGTAGGACACATCAACAGGCCCCTGCAACTCCTCGCTCTTTATTTTCCCAGCTCTCCCTGTCCTAGCCCAGATTTTGCGGGATGACTCGATGAGCAATGTAATGGTTGCGACTCGGTTGCAAGTTTTAAGATGATGGGATTCCTCTTCCAAGACCTCCACACGCTTCTCGTTTTGAAACTCTCAGGCTATGTGTGGACCGAGGAAAGCGGAGCAACAATTTCGACTGGAGGGATTTCCTGCAATCTGGTGCGCCATTCGCCCACCGTGGCCATTCACGGCATGTTGTGTTCCAATGTCGATAAGCCGGTTGGCCTCAGGTGTACAAAATCTTCTAGCTGTACAAGTGAGGCTGCCTGTAAACACAATCTCTATTCTTCTAACAACCCGAAAATCACATTCCTCTCGAAAAGATGATCATGCCCTACGATCCAGTCTCTGTGGCATTATCCCTGTGAACTTAAGGAAATCAATTGTGTTCCAATGTCGATAAGCCGGTTGGCCTCAGGTGTACAAAATCTTCTAGCTGTACAAGTGAGGCTGCCTGTAAACACAATCTCTATTCTTCTAACAACCCGAAAATCACATTCCTCTCGAAAAGATGATCATGCCCTACGATCCAGTCTCTGTGGCATTATCCCTGTGAACTTAAGGAAATCAGTGTAGCCAACTCGTCAAATGATACCGAACGGCCTGGGCCTTGGAGACAACGTACCCAAACTCTGCGAGTCGACGTTTCTTTCAGAGAGTTCCGCACGTACCAGAGAGTTCCGCACGATTGGTACTTTACAGGTGGAATATTGAGTTCCGACCAGTAGCTCTGAAGAAGCAATCACTTGAACTCCGACAAGATCTTTGGGTCTCCGTTCATCACAAGTGACGCTGCGCTTCGTCGTGAATGAATGCAGCAGTGTCTGGCCGACAGTGGACGCTTCTAATATGAACAGGTTTTCCATCAAGTTGCACTGTATCGAGAAAACTAAGATCGAGAAGGTATTGTGTCAAATACCCTCTTCTTCTAGCTCTTATAGGGCATATTTATGTAACAAGGACTTTTATTGGGAAATTTACTTTATGCTTCGAAGCTACAAAGGAACTGGTGTTATTTCGCTACGCTTGCTAAACTTGGTGAACAGATTTCGAAAGGTGGTCGACACATTCAGAAATACGTCTTTTCACAGCACGGCAGGCGGATTTGATAAAAGGTATTCGACAGAAAAGTTTCATTCTTATCCACTCTTCTTGCTTTCGCTCGATGAAACAATAACATCTTCTGCCAGAATATTCTAATTCATGCTCGTACATAATCATTCATGTTGGTTAAATGATGTGGAGCTGGACATTGTGAACATCACAGGTGGCCACATTACTGTCCTTCGCCACGCAGATACTCTGTATTTGCATGATTTGTAATCAAATACAAATGCTTTTCTGTTGAAGTGATGTCACGCGAATCCATCAAGCTTTTATATGAGTGTTATCATCAGACAAATTGCTTCCATTCATATGGATAAGGTCTACGATCTTCTTTTCGGTATCCTCTTCTGCTTGTTGACTAAGGAATGCCAGACTAAATTTCGGTGAGAACTTCATTAACACAAAGATCACTCGCATGTGTAAGTTGCTGCAATGGCTTCTTTGAATCACTCCTACCTGACTATATAGTATAGCAATTCATATAGGCTTGAGGTTGCTCATTGATTAATATCTGGTCATCGAATTCTGCAGTCAAATTTGTACTTGAACATGGGCAGTGAGTTTTCATACTGCTATTTCAGATTTCCAACATCGACTTGGAGCATCACATGCATATGAGTATGTCTAACAGTATATATCCAAAACTTATAAAGCAGCTACTTATTATAAGCTCAGATAATTTGACAGGACGATCACAAACAGGAAAGATCGTCACTTGTGCCTTAGGAAATGAACCGAAGGTTAGTATAAATTGTAAACCGTCGCATATCTGGTATGACGTTCTCACATACAACTCTAGCTCAGGCTTTCAACTTTTCTTCTTAATATATAAGTTACCTCGGCAGCATGGTTTACCAAGCCATCTCAACAACGGGAAGAAATCCCAAACTAATCCACAAACATGGAGTAACGTTGACTGAATTGGCAAAACCAACCGCCAGGTACATTTGACTTCTATGCAAAATGCAGAGCTTTTTTTCCAGATCTATTATCAGAATGTACGAGTTTAACCGAAAACATGTCGCTGTTGGAACGCACACCTTCTTCTCTCACCTTACAATAACCCAACGACAGAATGGATATGTTATTTATTGTATTGTCTGAAAGTCATCTTTCAAACACTTTAAAGGAGTGAATTACCTTTCATCAACTAACGTCACACTCTAGAGCACACAAATAAAGTATCATAACACACACAGGTCTCACATCACAATAGATGCATCAACCTAAATGTATGAAGATAATATTTTCTATTCTCCAAAGGTATACATTGACTATCAAAAACATCGCCATTAAAAAGATAATATTTTCTATTCTCCAAAGGTACACATTGACTATCTGAACCATCGCCATTAAAAAGAGATGCTAATCAAGCCAAAATCCTTTTCAAATTTATATGATTGACTTTCCCATACTAGCTACCATCAACAATAGATGTACTCAAAGTTCAACTTATAAAATTGCATAGCAATCAGCTATAATCTGAACTCTACTTCTTCGACCCTGACCTAACTGTGCTTTTGGGGCCAACAGCAAGCAAGTCTAGTGCAAATGCCCTTACTTCACCATAGACCCTAACTGCTATATATAAGAAGAGAGTTACTGAAATGGTGACAGATTTCATGCACATACATATTCTATCAGAACGCACATTATTTTCCACTACAATCAAAATACATATGTTTTCATGAACCAACACAAATGTAAGACAATTGTTATTTTTAGCAACGATTAGATTTCTTTAAAATCAAGCAGGCATTAATCCATTCACACGATATATCATGTTTGGTTCTAGGTACAAGATCAAGAGATCCGATGCTCCATCATTAGTTCCTTGTTTGAAATCCATGCTTGCTAACCCTATCAAAGATATATCTACTGTAAACTTGACACTATGTACATAGAAAGCGGCAGAACTTCTTCTATATATATACTACCATCATCTCCAAGAAGTTTACTAAATGCAATACCAAAAACAAATTAAGGATGATACCAACAATATCCATTTAATATAAATCAACTAGTTTATCAAACCAATATAATAATCGTTCCATCGATTAGCATAAATAAGTAAATTTCAAGAATATAGGCAAAAATTTCAAACTTAGATTCAGGACTACATAAATTTAATTATATGTGACATGGCACATAATCACAATCAAATCTTCAAATCAAACTCACAAATTGAACAACAGCTTACATGATTTTATATGATTTATATTTTGATTGTTGCATTTTGCTACAATTAAATCTAACCATCAACAGGTATTCTTAGAATTAAACATTGACGTTTATTTATATTAGATATATATATATATATATATATATATATATATATATATATATCTGATAATCTATATTAGATATATATTTATATTTATATAGATATATTGTGAAAATAATTTTATGTTGAGCAATGACAAGTGAATCTCATAATTTTCATGATATAAGTACTTTTGAATAAACATGTAATATCATGGTATGTATCCTTTTATCTCAGATACAATAGTAAGAAGTATAATAAGAACATAATAAGAAGTACATGACAAGGTGAAGTTAATTGCCGCATAAATAAATTTCCCATCATATAACCAATGACAATAAACAAATAGTCTGATCTACATATATTTTATTACAAGTCAGGCATTTTTTATTAAATATCCAATGGTTGAAAAAAATTTCAACAATGCATGATTAATATAACTAAACTTATTAATAATTTAGGAGACGTGAGATGTTAAGTCGATTCTTGATATGTTTGATATCTGGCCAAAAAATTAGTATTTATTTTGCATATAATCCAAATCAAACTTTCATAACTTTACTTTTGTATCAAAGTCATCAACTCAATTTGCATGAAATAATGTCTTTTTCGTCCATATTTAATAATTTTTAGAATCAAATTATGGAAATCAATTCTAAAGATGATCAAATCAAATTGTTGATAAAAGATTTAATTTTGATCTTGATTCATCGATTGATCTTTTGATATAATCACATCTTACAAGTTTGGCCACAAGCTTTTCAATAATTCATACCTCCTCATTGGAATTGATCTTGAATGAAGTTTTGTAATAATTTTGTACCAAATCTACGTAAATGATCATGAAAATTATTTATCAACTGCAATTTTTAAAGTGAAAGTGAAACAACTTAAAATCCACAAACATTTTAAATTCAAAAAAGTGTTCATTTTAGTAACTCAATGAACAAGCATTCTAAAATATTCAACTTTCGAACAAATTAAACACGGAGCAAGATTAATATCAGAAAAAACAGCATAATTATTTCTAATACATTTCAAGAAAAAAAGTGTCTGAAAAAAAATTATAAATTTTTTTGAAGAAATGTCACAGACATCACAAAACATCTGAAAAATTTATATTTTTCTTCATAATATTTCTATACACAATAAACTGCATCTATAATCTTACAGACGAATA